AAAACATAATTTTCTACATCAATCAATCACATCATTATAATTGAGAGTAATAAAGATATTACTGGAAAACAAAATAAATAAAATTAATTTTTAAGTCAAATTTTTTTTGTTGTTATATAATATTATTATATAATATTATAAAAGACTACTAATTACTTGTTATCGATAAAAGTTATATAGTTTTTAAATACAGTACTAATAGCTATATTATCGCTCACTCACTCACTCACTCACTCACTCACTCACTCACTCACTCACTCACTCACTATACTGTATATATATATAGCTTATGTATGTATGATAAAAGTCATGCGTATTCTCTGTATTCATGTAAAGAATCTTCACTTTTAACGTACAGAATATTCTCTCTCTCTCTCACTCTCTAACTCTCTCTCTCTCTCTCTCTAACTCACTCTCTAACTCTCTCTCTCTCTCTCTCTCTCTCTCTCTCTCTCTCTAACTCACTCACCCACTCACTGCTGACTGTGTGTGTGTATCATAAAACTCATTGCACACACACACACTCGCACATAAAAATTTTGCAATTCAATAGACTTGATCTCTCACTCTCTAACTCTCTCTCTCTCTCTCTCTCTCTCTCTCTCTCTCTCTCTCTCTCTCTCTCTCTCTCTCTCTCTCTCTCTCTCTCTCTCTTTCTTTCTAACTGTACTCGCGATGCAGTCGTCAACTATCGCTTACTATCCATTGAATACAACCATTCAATCCTAACGGTGTGTATCATCTATGTGTGTATAAGTGTATAGTTATAATACCTGCTCTCTCTCTCTCACACAATGTTTTATATATATACTGTATTTTATTAGTATAAAAGTTTTATATATATATATACAGTACAGTAAAACAAATTACATTTTCATTAACTTTCTAAAAACCAACTGTCCTATTTCAATGTGCAATATACTAGACTAATTTATATATATATCAATATATATATATATATATATATATATATATATATATATATAAATAACCTTAAATAACAAATTGTTTTTGTTTAGTTTAATAATATTATATACAATAGTCTAGTGATTGTATATATCTTTACTACTAATTAAATATTTTTTTGTTTGTTTGTTTGGTATTATCTAAACATAATGTTTAAATGAATTTTATTTTATATATATATATATAAATATATATATATTTAGTAAGTAATTGTTTGTTAGTTTGTTGTGATTGTGTGTGTGTTTTATATACTAAATAAAATTATTTTTTTTTTAAAACAAACAATTTATGATATAAAATAAAATTGACATTTTTTTATATTATCAATTGACGTCAATTGACTATTAATTATATATATATATAAATCATATTATAAATACATTATAAATATACTGTAAATATATTTTGATGTTATTGTTATTGTCAATAAACTATATATATATTAAATATCAAATTATCTATAAATGATAAAATAAATTATTATCAATAAATGTTTGTATGTTTTTAAAAAAAAAATAAAGTGATAAATAAAAACAATTGATTTATCAATAATAATAATAATAATAAAGTTATAGTTAAGTGAAAATAAAAAAAACTTTTATGAAATATTTGAAGAAAAAAAACATTTTACTTAATAAAATAATAATAGATATTATTTAAAATATTTTTATTATTATTAGTATACTATTAAATAAAATCCATATAAATAGTGTGTATTATGTGTTATCCACTAAATGATTAATGATATTATACTTTATATTTATATATATATATATAAGTTATGTGATTATCATAACTATCTATAATCATAATAATTATTATTATTAAATATAATAAATTTTTAAAATTTGTTTGGTGTGAACAATAGTTGTCAATAAGTTATGTAATAATAAATTAATTTATATAATAAGTGACATATTATATAATATAATATATATATATATATTAAATATTGTGTTTAAATTTATATATACATAAAAAAAATCTCTGTATTACAGGTAAAAACATTATGTTTTAAATTTACATTATATTTATAGTATTATATTATTTATATAAATATATATATATAATTTTTAAATAACAAAATAATTATTAATTTTTTTTTTAATTTTTAAATATATATAAATATAAATATCAGCAGTTATTGTTAAAAATATTTAAACTAAAAAATTAAATACAATTAATTAAATAATATATTAATTTTTTAGAAAAATTTATTTATTTAAATCTAAATTAATTAATTAATTAATAATAATAATAATAACAAATCTAATAAATAATTTATTTTAAAAATTATTATTTAAATTATAGATTCAATACTACTACTAGTACTACTACTACTACTACTACTACTACTACTACTACTACTACTACTACTACTACTACTACTACTACTACTACTACTACTACTACTACTACACCACTACTACACCACTACTACACCACTACTACTATCACTACTACTACCACTACTACTACTACTACTACTAACACTACCACTACCTACACGGCTATATAATAGACTATTATGGAA